TATATTTATATACTTTTATATATTATTTGACCAATTTGACCAATTTGACCAATACTAAACCCTTTGACCAACTGGTCTGGTCAAGCTTGACCATTGACCAGTCCATGCCAACCCTGATCTCTTACTATTCAGATCAACAAATTTTTATTATTAGCTTTATAGTATAATAGCAAACTAGGTAATTATAGAAATATGTATCAAAATAATAGAATCTATAACCATTTTTCTAGGAATTCTAAACAAAATATTATTTATATACTCATAGAGCCACTACTGTAATCAGAATTTTTTTTATTTGTATTGTTGTCCTAGCAATATTTTTTTATTTTTATAATAAAGGTTCTAAACACTAAATGTCATTATTTTGAAATATATTATTTTTGAAGACTTGCACTTTATGTAGTATAAAATAAAGAGGGTTCTGATGTGATGTATAATTATCATATAATAAAGCTTTATCTATAAAGTTACTCATATTCAATAAGAGCTAAAGAATGCTTTTTTAATTCTTTCTTGTACAGAGTAATAAGAACTTTCATTTTAGCCTCAAAATTTTATTTATATTCTAAGAAATCTGTCTTACTCATATTCTTGCATTTTTTTTATAGTAATTGTAGTTATCTTATATTTCAAAAACAATCTTGTCTCTCTATTGTTCTAATCTTTCTTTTGACATTTTGAATTTTTATTGTAAAAGAAAAATAAGAGTATCTATATCTGATTCGTTTTTAATAAGAATTTCTAGTAAATTTTTTGAATTGATAGATATACTTACCTCTATATTAGTTTGATTAGCATGATTTTTGATAAAAATTTCTTTAGTTTCCTTACTTATCTCAGTTTCTGATAATGTTTTCTTGGCTTTCTTACTTACTATGATTTCTGATAACTTTTTAAACTTAACTGAAATCATATAAGAATGATTATTCTCTGTTTTTGAAATCATATAACTCTAATTGTTTACTTGAAAAATGGTTTTTGAGATTACTTGATTTATAATGTTTTGAATTTGTGCAATGGTTAATTTTGAAATATCATTTGCACTGCAGGTAACATACTTGATTATATCCATTCAAACACCATTTTTTCTAAATAACTTACAAATTTTTTTAGTTCTAAGAGTTTTAATTTATAAAGCAACTAATGCAATGCCAGATAGATGTTCTAATATTTTCTTATATATCTGAGTTCTTGCAGTTTGATTGGTAACTTCTGTCTTATGATGAATTTTAATAACTTTGTTTTCAAAATTATTTGAATAATAAGTCTTGGATAAAATTTCTTTATACCCAGATCATATTGCA